ATGACGACGTTGAGTTTTGCGGGGAGGAACCGTTGACGAAGTAGGCAGTTCATAAAACCTGGATAAGGAAGGAGGACCCTTCGTTTCAATTTCGTACTGCCTGCTCACCTTTCTTCTTTACTTTATTGTTCTCTGCCACTTTTTCTTGATACAAACCGCACGCCTCTTCTTGTCATCCTCTCCATAGGTAGGTATTGGTATCAAGGTACAAATGAGGTAGCAACAATTCAAAGACAAACCAAATCCATCGACGCCCCTTCCTATTTCGCATTCTCAGTGGCCGCGATAATGTCTGTTTCCATTTTTGCCATTATCATCTGCTGGTGGTCTGACACATGGGAATGCCCTCAAACTCAGTTCGGTCTCATGATGCAATGGAATCATGCACTACTAGACTTCATTCATATAAGATAATGATTATAATATTTCATACTGGCTAACCTGATATCTAGTCATCCTCCTTTTTTGTTATCCCAGAAAAAGCCCACCAACCACGACCAGAGATGCATAAATAGTACGGCGTACAATCGACCCTTCAAGGGCCTAAACACATTCGAATACAAATCATACCCCTCCTCTTGTGGCCCTGGTTGCTACTTTTCAAATTCTCGCCAGCCGATTGAACCCAGACCATTCCGTAACGCCAAACCCCTCAACTTCTCAATCCCCTTACCGCCATAGTCATTACAGAGTTATGCAGACACACATACCACCATTCCCGAGGTCCGACCCTGAATTCAAAAGAGTATACATCATAACACATGGGTATCCAACAATATAATAAAAGAAGGGAGCCTCAACTCCACACATTAGGGCGATCCTTTCATCGTCGTACATAACGGCGGCATCTCTTGGACATGATCCGTTATCCGTCTCCTCACCGCTGTTCATCCCGTTCGGACTTGGCAACAAACTCGCCTGCTCTCAGCAAGACACTCATACCGTCCAGGCGGGCTCGTAGAGGCCGTTCTTCAACTGGAGTGACGAGATCGGGTGCTGGTGTCATCAGGACATCGGCGTCTGCCATGTATTCGTCGTGTCTGGCTAAGGGGCCAGTAGGTGGCAGAGGTTGAGAGCCTTGTAAGCCGCGTTAGCTTAAGCTTTTTGCAGAAGTCTGCAGTGGGAGGATCAAGTACCATATCCTCTGGGCACTACGCCATTACGAAAAGACGGTCTTGCAAGTGGTGCAGGGTCTGTCGGGCTGGGAGTTGTCGTTCCGAAACCAGAAACAGAAGAACCTCGCTCAAAAATCCCCGCGCTGGCAGCAGCAGCAATGGGCGTTGGCAGCGTCTGGTGGTGGGAGAGCAGAGCGTGAATCGGGAGGGGGCCTTCGCCAGGTGTTCGCGCAAAACTTCCTGCTGGGCTGACCGATCCGACGCTGCTGGTTGAAGATGGTTCGTGTCGGAGGAGCGGTATTTTGGGCGGAGCCGATGGGAGGACGTTTGGTACTTCAGGTACTGATCTCGGATGATTGGCGGCGACGAAACCACTCGAATACGGATTTCCTTCAGAACCTGACGATACGGGCATACCTTTCCTTCCATCCTCAAGCATATTGGATAACGACGGCAGATGTTGTTGCTGAGATGTTTCAGCCCCACGGCCACCATCTCGCCAAGACTGCTGGCGCGTGGAAGTTTGATGAATAGGCTCTCGAGGACTGCCGGCATCGAAATGGTTACCCCGTGGCGAAGACATGGTATCATCGTTTGAATTGGCTTGCGACAGAAGTGTTGGCGTTGTCGACGAATGCTGTGACTCAGCTACTGATGCGATCGAATTCAACCTTTCCCGATAACAAGGTGGTGGCTCGCTCCCCTGCAACCTTTCGCTGCCACTTCCACTCGATGTGTTACCAGGCGTCATAGTGCTACTGCTGCTACTGCTATGACGTAGTCGAATAGGGTCCAGTTTGGTCCTCTTGGAAGAATCGGCTAGTCAAGATCAGTATGTCAGTTTCACTATTCCATCAATGAACGATGGGTTTGGCGCCAGCTGGCTACGAACCTTGAGTTCTTTTAGCTTGCTTCTCCTTGAACTCGTGCAGATACTGCATGTATTTCCGGTAGTCGGCCGTCTTTTTATACTCCATCAAATCTCGGTGGTATTTTTCCTTGTCTGCATTTGCTTGGCTCTCAAACGCTTCCTTTTCACTGGCGTTCAGGTTCTGCCAGTTTTCCCCTACGAGCTTGGCAATTTCTGTAAATGTGAGATTTTGACTCCTTAAGTCTTCCCTCATTTCTTTGTGGTACTCATTAGTATGCTGACAAAGGAATCCTCGGCCTGGAGCAACGCTTACTATTAGAGAATAACACATAAGCGGAGGGGGGTCGCTCAGGGGCATTTTCGTCGGGCTGGTGCCTTGTCAGTCACGATTACTTCTAGCGATGTACGACTCTCTTCGCACCTTAGGATGACGTCGGTATTTTCGTTTCGCGACACCTTGTCCCTCTGGGGGTGTTTCTGTCCGACTGGGCTCGGGTTGAACGCTTTCTGACTTTGCTTCTTCGCTAGTTGGCCTTGCAGGGGTCGACAGAGACGTTGATGGGGATATGCCCCGCGCATTGGCTATTCTTCTTTGAAGTTTCTAGACGAGGATTATGTTAGTTTTTGCCTAAGTGGGCAGTGACATTCTCCATACCCTACGGTGACCAAGCTTGACGCCGAGTGCATCTCTGTTGGACAGTCAGTGTAAGTTCCACAACCAGTCAAAGTTGGGGGCACGTACAGATCCGACTCTTGTATGTCGAGAATAATATCCCACTCATCGAAACCTTGCTCGACGAAGGCGCCGAGATATTGGGACAACCCCAACTCGGCGAAGATCGATTCAAGATCTGAAGACATACAGCAGGGCTGGAAAGTCCCCGGGACCTTTCCTTTGAATACGAATAGGTTTCTTCTGATTGGTGCCAGGGTGACGACTTCAGCGTAATCCAGGTCCAAGTGGACTGGCGATTTGCAACCTGCGATACGAGATAGGCAACAGTACCAAGCGGCTGAAGGTCGCTAATATAACCGAACAATGTACCCAGTAGGTATTAAGCAATATAAAACTACACACGAGTGTGTTGAAACAGCAAGACAATGCTCTCCTCTTTCGTATGGTTGGCGGCTTGGTGGATGTCGAGAATAGGTGGGTTCTGAAACGCGGGGTTAGGCACAGAACTATGATGAACTGACGAAGCCGTTCGGAGTCGAACGACTAACAAGAGTGAAAGAAGCTATCATGGAAGTGCGTTGGGCAAGGATCAAAGGCTGGTGGAACACATATACCCTGCTGTGAGAATGAAGACTACGTTCATAGCTTACAGCATCAGAGCGTGCTTGGGCAACGATGAAGCGAGGCCAAGCTGGACAGGAAGGGACAGGGCAGGAAAGGACAGTCAGGTTTGAAGAGACGACTATAAACTCAGGGTCGGGAAACAGGAGATGCATTGATTGGGCATGTGGGCATGGGCAGTGATGATGGGAAAGGGCAGAGAGGTTGACGAACACGATACTGCGTTTGCGTATACAAGTACGAGATGGAGTCACCCGACTGATCGAGAGCGATGGGTAAGTCCGCCGCAGTTGCAGGCAGGCTTCAGGACAGGAACAGGTGGGACATATGATGAAGGATGCTATACTGACCAAGATTTTCCAATTGGTATGCTACAGCGACGAACAAACGAACGAATTTTTCGAGGCGGATGATCGAGAACGAGAGTAGAAAGAGAAGCCAGAAAGCGATCAAGAGGGAAAGATGGATGAGTCGAGCTTGTAAGGGAGTCGAGTGCGGCAGGTATGAGCTTCACCAAAGGCAAGACACAGAATCGGATATCTCGATGGCACAGAATGAATCCTGGGCCTTGGTGGGTTGGTTATGGGTTAGGGAGAAAGGTGCTCTGTCCAACCGCAATGGGGGTAGGAGGGAAGCCCACGGTCAGTCAGCGGCGCAAGACCTCGTCTAGGAACAATGTCGAGAGTAGTGACGAGGAGGTGGATTAGCAGGTGATCTCGGGATTGAAACTCATGAGGCGACTGTGAGGTGACAGATCCAAGAAGACAGAATAGACCCCGGGTTATGTTTGGCTGCAGGTCGGTCGGTTGAGGATCAATGTTCTGGACCTAAACTCCTGTTGGTGTGTGCGCGCGGCCCTGTGCCGAACTAGACAGGCAGGACGCTTATAAGAATCAGATTCTAGAGAAATGGACTTTCAAGTGCCCATGTACAGGGGTGTGTCAGTTATCGAAAACAAACCAAGTCGAGGAATTGTTCTATGGAGAGGTGCTATTAGAGCCAATGTCGAGACTAGGGCATGGTAGAATCCAAATGCTTGCTGTCTGTTAATGGAGGGCAGGAACAGGGTCCAGGGGAAACGGAGCAGAGTCGGAGGTGCCGCAGCCACCGGCAAATACTTAAGACTATTGAAAGAGAGCGATTAGGCAAATCAGGGTTTCGGAAGCGAGGATAAAATCGCGAGAGCAGAGAGAGAGCAGAAACATCAGATTCTTACATGGCATTACGTTCGGGGGGTGGTGGTCTTGTTGTTCAGAGGCTCGCAGGGAGCTAGGAGGGCGTAGTCTAGCCCGGCCAGTTCGCAACAGAGCACAACGGAATGGGGCGTGAAAGTGGTCGGGTGGGAGAAGGGGTAGACCTACAATCTTCCGTCAAGGATGCACGCACAGTCTTGGCATTTGTCTCTGAAATCTGGACTGGCTGTGGATACTGACTGATCCGCAGCCTTCTGCTACTCTTCTCCGAGCTGGGGTATATCGGGTTTTGACGTTCAAGAGAGTCGATGAATAATAATGCAAGGACCAGTTCAGCATCAGTCTTCAACCATTGCAAAGCCCTGAGTTATGATGGACAATTGGCACGGTCATTGCTGAGAAACGCATGTACATAAAGCAATGCAGTTCAACTTATTTAAGATGGGTTAAAAACAAGAAGCGTGGACCCCAAGGCCCTGTCGTCGGCTACGTATACGATAGGGCGGCACCTGGACAACATCGAGATGCCCCATCTTGGTCCAATAGACGCATTCGAAGACCATATTGAGGTCGCTTCAACGCAACGCAACGCAACGCAGCGCAACACTACTGGTGCCCGTGACTGGGAGACTTTTAGCAGAGTCATCCACGGATGTAAGAACGTCCAAATATAAGTGAGTAAATGATGGAACAACTGTTGAGATTACTGATTGGTTTCAAACCAGTCAATATCAAGAGCGACATGGTATCGAGGACATGTAAGACTCAGGGGTGGCATACTGATGCTCATGCTGATGTTTGTCCAAATGTCGTACAGCCCTTCCTTCATGGTGTTCCAAGGACGCGGGCAGGAGTGCTATGGAACTTGGCGTATCCGCATCCTCTATTAAGAAAAAGGCAATTGCGCATGTTGATCAACCGTCAATTGATCGACTGATTTGACCCGAGGCGGCAAGATCGCAGCACCTGCCTGGCAGGCTATTTCGATGTATCACCGTCCACACTCCAGTGTGCCTGCCAACTCGAAGCACCGGTACAGCACCGTCCGTAGACTACGGTATAGCGCAGGAACTCACAAACTGTAACGGGTAAGATCTCGATCCCAGTTCGTGAAACGGTCATAGTCCCGCCGTCCAAGTACATACGGATGCTTAGATGACGGCGTGAGATTGAGAACAAATGTCACGCAGACACGCTCCTTGGTGTCGTTTCCCACTCCTGCTTTGCGGCTGGCTCACAGAGGCTCAAACCTCGTCGGGACGGTGCGTACTGGCCTACTAAAGAAGCGTGACAGACGGATTGTCAGGGTTGAAGGTGAGCTTGTTCTTCAAGAGGCATCGCTTGTCGGTAGCCAGGTGGTTGTGGGCTAACTAGAGAGTGGAGCTCTGCTTGAGTTCTGGTGGTCGGAGCAATTGGGAGCTAGTGAGGTGTGGGCCTATATAAGTGACGCACGTCCTGTTCCGCGCGTGGGTTGTTCCTGATCGTCATCGAGCCATGCCCGTTGCTGGAATCGAGCTTTGGCTTATGGATCGCGAGACGTCAAAAATTGAGCTTCACCATGATCGAGAAGTTCTTTGGTTGAATCGCCCACAGTGCCGCGCCAACGCGATCTGCCTACTTGGGCTTCGGAAATCCCCCAGGTTCCCTTTCCATGGGCCACATGGCATGGCCACCGACGTCTTTGCCCAAGTCCGTTCGTTGTGCAGCAACGAGGTTTATTCGTCATATTGCACCGATAGTTGATGTTTCCAGTCGAATGACGCATATTTCAAGCGGTTCCAAGGCATCAATCATTTGCTATCCCTTCTTCCGCGACGGGTCAGTGTCTCTGGTAGCTAACTTGGGCAGCGAACGCGCCCCTGTATCCAATTTCTCTCCTTCTCTTTCCAAAGTTTCCTGCAGACTACCTTCTATCCAACAAAGAGGCGAGCCTAGTAGAGATGGTTTATCATCTATACCCACTTAGTTTTGGAACGGTACTGTCGTATGAAGGTTATAGGAGTGAGGTAGATCATTGCATCAGTGGTTGATGGGATGTGTAAGACAAGATGGCATTGTTCATCAGGCCATCCACACAAACAGCGTCAATCCGGTATAAACTATAAATGTGTGGTATCGGTAATTGCGAATCGGGAAGTGGTGTAGGAATCGTCCATGGAGCAGCATGGGAATTCAATAAATGGTAAGAATCTCGATCCCTCCCAGCCCTATGATTGGCTGTAGCCCGAAAAGCAGAAGCCGCAGCGGATTAAACGAGCGACTCCTTGATCAGTGTAACGCCTCTCGTCTGCATCGTCCTTTCGATCCAAGAATGCTTGTTCTGTTTGTGTAGTCTTGGCTTGAATCTTGACTTGGACACTCCTCGAACTTGGACTTCAAACCGTCACCGGCAAAAAACGGTAGTGTCCTCTTGTAAAGCTAGCCTGCCGAATAGTAGCGGAAATAGTGACACAGAGTTGGATTCCGTGATCTGTAAGCCAATGGCAGTCTTTGTTGGCTGATTGATCCACTTGACCGTGTTGAAGTAACGGCAGTTTTGGTATTACTCAGACGACAATTGATGATCGTATTCGGGGCTGAGAGCTACGTTGTGTAGACTGTGACGTTCGATAGGATTTTGCTTAAAGATGCCAATTGCAATGCAGACTGCTCTGCAGCGCCCGAAAGCTTTCGAGTGTTTTAGACCCTGGCTTGAATAAATGCTCGAGTCCGTCTCCCCGAGACCCTAAGTCGAAGTCGCGTGAAGCGCATGGCGTCTCTCCATAGTACGGATACTGAGTCTAGAACGCTGATGAGACGTCGAGGCCTCACGACAGGGTGAGCGATCGATTAGAAGGAAGCCAGTCCCAGGATGTGCATGCTTGCAAGTCTGCTAATTGGTTAGGTGGCTGATTGGTTCGTGCCTGCCCTGTGCAGTCCCAATGCATAGATGGACCGAACCTATTTGAACCCAGGTACTAAGGCAGGAAGGTAGGTACCTACCTACCTGGGGTACGGTACAGCAAGATTATTGTATTTCCGGATGTCACTACGTGCATGTTCGTTAGTTGTTCCTGCCTCTGCTGTCACAGATAGCTGCTAACAGTTACCTAGCAAATGTAGTAGATATGAAAACCACTTTTTATAATGGAAATATTAACACTATTTTGTCATTAGTTGTATATATTATATATTACACTGGGAAAACCCCATTATTCTTTTACAGTGTTTTCCTCTCTTGTTCTGCTATCCACATCTACCTTGACCAAATAGCAGTATTTCATTTTCGATTTCCACAACGACAGTTGGCCGATTTAGCACTAAACTAATAATCATAGAGGGCCACATTCAAGGGGAAAAGGGGGGGTGATCAGCAACTAACAGCCCGGATCAGTCAAGCAAGTAGCCTAGATGCTACTATGTACAGTAGCTAATCTAATATAAGTAGTAATATCGTGGGTGCATCGAGAGAAAGTCTCCGTAGCTTGTCTTGTATTAACCGGGGGTTGTACGCCGTCATCTGGCGTTTTTGGTTTCCAGCAGCAGCGGTGGCTGTCCATGACCAGGTCAAGAAAGGAGCCCAGAACCACTAGCAATAAATAGACATGGATGGGATCGAGACCGGGTGCTGTGCTCCACCAGTTTGTGTCACTATAATGTCGGAGAGTTCTAAAGACACTTGGACTCCTTGAATTTGTTAATGGAGTGGATAATCATAGATCGATTGATCGATCGCATTGCATGTAAGTGAGCACGACAGTCCTCCTCCAGCAGTTACTCTTTGCGAATTACATTCCCTTTCTGGAAACCGGGTGGGAACACAGCTGCACCTTGAAATCTGGCATGTTGGCCTGCCATCGCTTTTACTACACATTTATAGTTGCAGGGTGAGGGGATGGCCAGGTTGCTTGTTTCCAGCCCCGATTGGTATCGATATCATGATCTATTGGGAGAGCTGCATCGGAAGTGGCATTTATTATTCCCCATGATCAACATGGTAACAACTAGATAGGTAACCAGTCAGCATTGTGCGATTTCGATCCCCATCTGAACATGCTTTCTTCCCAATTAAGTATAGAATCAAGATTGCAATTCTCCGCTTCACTCGTGATGAATTTTCTCCCTTATTCATGATGACGACCAGCTGTCGTCGTTCTGAGTGTTGTCTCAGGAAAGACCCGCAACGTTCGAGATCAGGCTCTGACCAGCAGCGTGGCGCACCCGGCCAGACCGGTCGATTTCGATACTAGTATGCCAATGCATTCTGACATGTAAGTAGCTGTACCTTTGGCAGGTCCAGGTTAACCATACCATTTGCTGACAATATCTGGCCACTGGACAATACCCTCTTGGGCCAATGATCTAAGTGGTATATTCGCACAAGCTTAGCCAAGTCTAAACAGGTTACCTATCTTGTTCAGATATTTCCTCTGACTAGAAGGTCTTGGGAGTAATGGTCTTGTGGGTATCGCAACTGAGCATACCTCAGTCCAGACTGAAGAAGGAGTGCCTTGGATAGCCGATTATTATGAAAATAGGTAGGTAGTTACAGTACGCTGTCAGCTGGCTCGAGGTGACCAGGTCCGAGTGTAGTCGACTCTTGGACAGAATCAAGTGAGTGGAATCGAGGCTCAAACTGCCCCTTCTCTATCGATCGACAACTTTATGAATATCCAAGCTCTGACAGGCCACCCCTTCCTTAGTGGACGGCCCGCTGTCGCGCCCGCCAAATTACCGGGACTACTCAGGCTGTCTATTCACTGAGGCCATAGGCTATATCTACTTTCTGATCAGAGTACCTACATCTCCGTTGTTCTTGTCAGTAGGTACATAGCTGAAGCTTAAGGTCTAGATCTCATCAGACAATATATAGGAACAAGGTCGAATGTTGCTATGAATAGACAAAGGAAGGAGAAACTACAACTTTGGGTACCTAAGAGGGAGAGGTAGGAAGAACCGTTGGTTGCCCACGCAGATAAACCCCCACTGCAGAAGAACCTAAACCTAACTCGTTCAGCCATGAGCAGGCATCCTCGCATTCATTCTGGACTATCCGTATTTCTCCTAAACAAACCGCTCAGCAAAAACATAGCATAGCACAGCCAACTTTCCACCACGTTGGGCTGTCCTAACGCATTATCTGCCTCACCTACAAACTATACTACAACCTACCTACATCTTCTTATTCACTCATCGCCAATACTTCTCACGTAAAGAAGTACAGTACAAGATGGCACCAGTTGACGACGCAAACAACCGAGCCACAAAGGCTGCGGGTTCGGGGGATGCCGATTTGGCCCAAGTAGGTCTTCTCTTCTTATCCATGTCTCATTCTCACGCTTGCCATTGCATTCGGGGTGGGCGTTTGCCATCTGTCAGGCATGGCAATGCAGAATTTACCTTCTTGCCAAACATGGGAATGGTAACAAAACACCTTGCTGCACATCCGGAGAGAATTGTCCTTGGTCTCCATCCCACCTTCTTATATGCTTACCACTCCTTTCCTGTTTCAACCATGTCCTCCTTTTGTTCTTTCTCCATAATCCAATCCCAGTTCCAAATCCAAATCCAAATCCAAATCCTCCCTCTTTCCCCTAACTAGTCATTCCCTGGCTATTCCCACTATCGAGGTCCAGACTCTCGCCCCGGCTTGACCGTGGAACGTGTTATACCCAGACCCAGAATCAGACCCAGCCCGCTGGTCGAGACCGTCTCGCTTGGCTTGCCACAGCCCAAATTCTCCTGGTTGATTGACCAACTGATTTGCATTGTGCATCTGCATTTGCATATTGCATTCGCATTTGCATCTTGGCCTTGCCGTGTTTACCCTTCGTTTCTTCACACACCCTCTCAATTTATAGACCTTTCCGTTATTGTGTTGCATTTCCAATTATACTGACAACATGTGCGTTCTAGGCCTACCGGGACCTTGCTAGGTAAACTATTCTGCAGCCTCCCCTCCCCTCCCCTCATCTCACTTCGCCTCGTCTCCTCGCCTTGTCTCAACACGACTTTACATTCTCCTCATCCCGATCCACTTTCAACATGATTTCCATATTTCCCATGTATCCATGTCGCATTTTTGTCATGGAATTCTTCGCTGGCGTACTCGGCATCAGCATATCGCTTTGTGCTCGGTCCCCAGATCAACAAATTCCTCCATCGGCATTTCCGACGTTCAATCTTCACCCAGGCATAGGATAAGCTAGGCATATACGTTTTGCAGTTTCCTAACAATCTGAAGGGCTTGAGACATGCTATGTTGAAGGTTGACATCACCTGCCATTGGTACCAATTCTCAACTAAACAGGGTGTTATCCCATCAGTCTAGAGCCAACCGTCTCGAAAAGAAAGTCCTATGTGGCCTTGTACTGGTGCTTGGGCTTTCCACATACGTACTATTGACCACGGAATTAATTGGTTCAAGCTCTGGCTTATCAATGTGGCAATAGATTTTCACTCGATTTGAATGCATCTTGATCGCTTCACTTCTCACCAAGCACAACACACTCATCCCTGCACCCTTCAAAGCACTGCCTCGAGCGTTACCTCGGTTACATTTGTCTCCTCTTTCCCATTTTGCCTCACTGCACATAATGCTGCAAAGCGACCTCCGGTAATATTCGACTAACATGATATCAACATAGGGGTGAGCAAGCTGCTACCAACCTCGAGAACAACCTCACAAACCTCGAAAGCAGACTTGACGCCATACTTGCTGCCCTTGAAGCCAACGGGAATCTACAGGCTCCCGCAGCTGCCAAGGTAGCCCAGGTCAACGAATCTCCTCAAGGCACAAGAGCAGCAGACAGCCAGGACAAGCCCCGGGATGATACCAATGGAAACGTAGAGAAGGACAAAAAGGACACTACTTGACCAACTGAGAAGTGTTGGGGCTGTTCAGTTCACGTCACATAGCAACTTAGATAATTGAGAGAGCGATATGCCAGTCATTCATGAGTCTCTTCTTTCCCCAAGAACATCTTTCACCTATAGTATTGGAACGGTTATCCCTGCCATTAAGGCATACATTCCAATCGTTCCACATCCCATCTCGTAGCCCAGCATACTTCCCGAGCTCAATGGCTCGTCTCCCACTCCTCATTCAAGAGCAAAAATAAAATGAAAAAAATAATAACCAAGAGAAACCACATATACAGTGAGACAACACCGAAAAACAAAACCTAAGCAGCAAGCCATGTCTGGAAAAACGAGAGAGAGAAGTGCCATCCTTGAAGGCCTGCAGCCCACTCAACACAATCCCATTCTAACCATACTCGCCGGCACATGTTGTATGTTTGTTAATGTTGTTGGTCCATGCCCATCTAAGATGATATATTCCATTGAAGCCCGCAATCGAATCGATACAAGTCCTTTGAGAAGGCTTGACGCAACCATCCACGTATGAAAACCCCGGAAACGCCAGAGAAAATGAAACACATGAAGGGGGGCTATAGCCTGCAGGGCCTGAAAGCCTATGTGAAAGCAATGAATAAACAGAGCCAGTGCAAGCAGAATCACGCAATGAAGTTGTCAAAAAACCGGTATCGCCAAACAGAACCTGTAGACCTTGTCGGGTCTTGTAATTTGCAATCGCAAGCGAATCAAAACTCAAATCCACTGTGCTGATACAAAATGGTCGTCGCGACCTTGAGAACTCCATACAAGACGAACGTGTGGCGTTAATGGGTCATATGCAATACTTGCAACGGCGTGATGCTTGTAAAAGCGCCAAAAAGGGACGTATCCCGATATCTGACGATACAGCGGAGTATACTTTTCGTAACGCTCGGCGGACGTATTCATGTCGCGACATGACCGGGTTATTGACTAAGTGATCTCATGAAAACCTGAGACACGGAAAGAACCCCGGTTAGTTGGTCAGACTTCTCATATCAGCAAGGTCGACAACACGTGCTCTTGCCATGGGGTCTTCCTCGGTTGCAATAATGGCAGGGCTCTCCTTGCCATTCCCCAATAGGGGCTCTCGACTCGTGAAGGCACGGCTCTCGAGTGTCGGTCGCAGCAAGCCCTGGCCTCCTTCCTTATGCTTCGATTTCGTTTCGGCGTGGAGCGCCAACTCGCGTTCACGATTCTTCTCGAGCAATGGACCACCAAGAGTAGCACACTTGAGGATGGTCTGGATGAGGTGGTTTTGCTGCAAAGGTTTGGACAAATACTCGTCCATCTGAGCCTGGATGCACTTCTCTCGATCGCCCATCATGGCGTGGGCCGTTAGAGCAATAATAGGTGTGCGGTGGCTTCCTATGCCACGCTCATACTCTCGGATCTTGCCAGTGGCCTCGAAACCTCCCTGTAAAACAATTTGTTAGCCGGTCTGTGCATGCACGGTTCGTGAGTACCAAGACAATGCAGCTACTTACCATGATTGGCATTTGTACATCCATAAGAATGACATCGAATTTCTTGCGTTGAACAGCTTTGACGGCTTCCCAGCCGTTGCCTACCACGGTTACCACGTGGTGGTATTTCTCGAGGATCTTGACTGCTAATCGTTGGTTGACGGTGTTGTCCTCGGCAAGTAGAATTTCGAAAGATTTGGTGTTATCGGCAAGCGATGGGGTGGCTCGGTTTTCAAGAGCAGGGATCATGCCGTTTCCTAGATCGATGAGTTTGCACGGCGTTGTCATGTACGACGTGATTCCCAAATCCAAGCACGATTTCAAGCTAACATGGACAACAGGCGCAAGCAGAACGATAGGTAGATATTTGAAATCGTCCACAGCTCTTAACCTTCTTGCGGTGTCGATAGAATCAACCAGAATAGCATCGTAGGGAAGGGAGCCACCGGTGTGCAGGCGGGCCAAGGCGGGACTCTTCTCTGAATCAACAACAACAGGCTTGAGACCAATCTTCTCCAGCATAGGCTTAATCGACGCAGCGTTTTGAGATTGAGCCTTATCGACAAATAGCACCTGGTGACCTCGGTATGGGCGAATCTGTTGCTCGATCATAGCGGCGTCGTCAGGGGCGAGCTTGACCAGGCATGTGAAATGGAATTCACTACCCTTTCCATGCTGACTATTGACCCAAAGATCACCGCCCATGAGGTTGACAAGTCGCTTCGAAATAGACAGACCCAGACCGGTTCCGCCAAACTTGCGAGTCATGGAACCATCGGCTTGCTGGAAGGTGTCGAAAATCAGATCTAATTTGTCCTGAGCGATTCCTATGCCCGTATCCTGCACGACAAACTCGACCGCATATTCGCCAGGCCGGACGTGGCTTTGCCCCATGCTCTCTTTGATTGTTAGGCTGACCTCACCATGCTCTGTGAACTTGATAGCATTGCCAACAAGGTTGAGGATGATTTGCCTGAGACGGAAAGAATCACCAATGACATAGTCCGGTACAGAGCTGTCGACCATGTAGGTGAGATCCAAGAACTTCTCATTTGCCTTGACGGCGAGAGTCTTGAGGGCGTTGAAGACAGTTCCTCGCAACGTGTAAGGGATTTCTTCAATCACCATTCGCCGAGCCTCGATTTTAGAAAGATCCAAAATGTCATCAATGATCGTCAGGAGGCTATTGGCAAGATTATTGACAATGTTGAGCATCTCCCTTTGATACTGAGTCAGGTCGGTGTCTAATGTCAGTTGGGTCATTCCAATAATGCCGTTCATCGGCGTTCGGATTTCGTGTGACATATTGGCCAGGAATTCGGACTTGGTCTTATTGGCAAGTTCGGCAGCTTCTCTGGCTTGAGTGTTGCGCTGAATAGAATCACGCAGATTTGAGATCATCTGGTTGATCTTTCGTTTGAGCTCGTCCATCTCGCCCGATGCTTCTACATCAACAAGTTTGGTGAAGTCCCCATCCGTGGCTAGGTTAGTTATATCTGAGAAGGCGCGCACTTGCGTTGTCTGTTTAGGTTAGAACGAACCCCCAAGGTTGTTCGGGCTTGACGTACCAAATTGCTAGCCATGGTGTTGACATCTGTTGTGATTTCTTTCCAGCGTCCATCTAAACCGCCCACGTCGGCTTGAGCACCCATCTTTCCATCAACACCCACATCTTTGGCGACTCGCTGCACTTCATAGCAGAAGCTAGACAAACGGTCAACCATGTTGTTGATGGTTTCTTTCAACACTTGTATCTCTCCATTTGCTTCGACTTTGATCTTCTGGCTCATATCGCCGTTCGCAATAGCTTGTGTGACGGTCGAAATGCTCCTGACCTACAACCAGTTAGTAAATCAAAAGTTTGTCGAGACTCTGGGCTTACCTGAGCAGTGAGATTTGACGCCATCGTGTTGACATTTTCTGTGAGATCCCTCCATTTGCCTTCGACGTTGGCTACTTGGGCCTGTCCACCAAGAGTTCCATCTGTGCCTACTTCCCTGGCAACCTTGCTCACTTCAACAGCAAAGGTACCAAGTCGATCCACCATCAGGTTGATGGTGTTCTTCAGCTCCGCGATTTCACCCTTGACCTCGACCCCAATCTTCTTTGTTAAATCACCTTTGGCGACCGCAGTGGTGACCTTGGCAATCTCGCGCACTTGAGTGGTCAAGTTCATGGCCATGCCGTTGACGTTCTCTGTCAGATCTCTCCAGGTACCCTCAACATCGTGCACTGTAGCTTGACCTCCCAAGCGTCCTTCGGTACCGACTTCACGGGCAATTTTTGTTACCTCACGAGCAAATTGTTGCAGTTGGTCAACCATGGAGTTGATAGTCGACTTGAGCTCGAAAATCTCTCCCCTGCAGTCAGCTTGAACCTTTTGGGTCAGGTCTCCCTTGGCGACAGCTGTGGTAACCTTGATAATGTCGCGCACTTGAGTCGTCAAATTGTTGGCCATGGCGTTGACGTTGACAGTGAGATCGTTCCACATGCCCTGCACTCCCCCAACATCGGCTTGCCCGCCCAGCATGCCTTCGGTTCCGACATCTCTTGCTACACGGGTGACTTCAGAGGCGAATGTTCGTAATTGATCCACCATGGTGTTGATGGTTTGTTGTAATTGCAATATCTCTCCCCGGGCAGGTTTCTCGATCTTCTTGGTCAGGTCGCCGTTGGCTACGGCTGTTGTAACAGATGCAATTTCCCTCACTGCGGAATTTGTTAGCTATGTAAACCTTTCCAGTCTGGTTCCTACAAACCTTGATCGGTCAAATTCTGGGCCATGACGTTCACTGCGAAAAGCGTTAGCAAGCCAGCTTATCTTGCAAGATAGAATCATACCGTTATCAGTCAGTTCTTTCCATGTTCCATCAACACCACCGATGCGGGCTTGACCGCCCAGCAAACCTTCGGTGCCGACTTCACGAGCCACTCGCGAGACTTCGCTAGCAAATATTTGCAGCTGGTCCATCATAGCGTTGATAGTGCGTTTGAACGTTGTAATTTCTGGGTCCATTTCAACAGTGTTCATGCGAACCTTCATAGTCAAATCACCACGAGCAACAGCGGTAACGATCTCGCCGATTTCTCGCAGGGCCTTTTGGAATGCTTCGTTGGCCTTTTGGTGCTTCCAGAGCTCACGCTCCAAGGTAGCAATACGTTCCTGCTCGAGTATCTCAAGGGCTCGCTCTTGCAGCTGCTTCTGCTCCATCAGCTGGGCATTAACACCCGCGAGCTCCTGGCGCTGGCTATCGAGCAACTTGGACTGATCGTCCACATGTTCTCGAAGTCCTTCGAGGGCTTCTTCGGTCAGCTGATAAGATGGCAGATGCGGAGTGTGCAGGCTACCTTGGGCGTGAAAGACTTTAGGCTTGGGGCGAGCCGCCACCGTAAGAGCCTCTTCGCCAAAAAGAGTGTCAATAACCTCGTTAGGCGTTTCTGGAAACGGAGAAGCAGCTGAGGCCTGGCTCTCGAGCTTTCCAACACGCAAAGCGAGGTTTTGAAGCTCCAATTCAAGCTTACGCTTGGCGGGAGTATCTGGTCCTGGGAGTTGCACCTGGGAAGCTACGCCCACCGGTATCGAATTAGGCGGTCGGGTATCTGGGGCTATCGAAGCAACAATCGCAGCGGCAGCGGCGAGGGCCGCATCGTCAACCATAATGGTGCAGGTGAACTGCTAAGCCGCAGTCAGGCAACAAATTTTTTTATCCTGAATTGCGCAGGACCGAATGTATAGTTTGGACGGATGAGTGTAGATTGAAGGTTCACGACCGACGAAAAGGCGCCAAGTTGATTGCTGGTGGATATATTCGGTAAAATAAATAAAAAAGAGTACCACGCAAGGCGAAGTAATGACCAAACTAAGGACGCAACAGTTGTAGACTGCGAAGCATCCTCGATTGTCGAAAGTTGAGTTGGTCTGAGTGTGATACACCGGGTGGTGGCGGGCGATGGCGCCGTAGCAGCAGGACGGGCGGGAATGGAACCAGTATAAGCAAAACGATCGCGGGAATTTCAAGTTGGAGTAGAACGAGATCAGGAGGGTCTTTCGGAACGGAAATCGGGACGAGCCTTGTGTCGTTGAAAAATGAGGCCGGATGGCGATACTGTACTGAGACGGACAGTAAGGGTTGAAGAGGAAAGGATTAGGCTGAAAGTCCAGCAAGCAAGCCGTTTGGGAGTTTGCAGGTTGGCCGAAGAGGGCGTAGTATAGTATAGGTAGGTACGGAGTAGTAGTTACCCAGGTATTGCAATGGGACCTAGGAGAAGGGACGGAGAAAGTACTCCCAAAGTAACCAGAGAGGGGATAAACCCAGGAGACCCGGACAGGACAGGACAGGACGATAGGACAGGGCATGACAAAGGGTGGTCCCAACTGCAGCGGTGGCAGCAACCACTGGATCTTAGCCCCGGGGTGGGGGGACAAGTCAACGGGCTGGATTGGGTGAACCGAGAGAGCCCGCCCTAGCACGCCTAGCCTTCCATTGACAGGACAATCCTGAGTGGTAGTGTATAATCCAGGGAGGTAGGTAGTACAACTTGATGCTGGAGGGCAGTGGGCGATGGCATGTATCTCCGAGTTGGGTCGGTCCTAGGAAGATCCCTCGGTGACTACCACAGCGGTACGAGATGAAAAGGAGGGCGATGAAAGGCGGAGCCTTCCAAGAGTTGCTAACGTCCAAACCGGTCTAGCAGAATAGCAACCTCTCTTTTCGGTCTGAAGTGGTGTTTGCCTTTCCACTATCAGTACCGCCCGTTCAGGTACGCAGTACTCTCTACTTTCATGGCAATTAAGTTTTTGCTTTGACGAATATCGGTTGTTGTAACAAAACCTAGAACCTTGTTCTAGGTAAGCTGTTAGAGGGGGTGAACGATCATTAAGTTGGACAATCTCAACTCGATACGTATGTCGATGCTACTCTACCACGTAGTATATACCAGCAGGTTGCTTGTTCTGAATTTTAAATTGGACCGCGATATGATCTGGTTGAGCCCTGAGACTTGGGGGTAAAGGAAAGCATGTATGTTATGTGGAGAGATGAAACCAAAAAGAGTAAAGAAAATGAAGTATCATAGTGAGGAATTGCTACTATACAGGGTGTTGCAGACAAACACTATGTACAGTATTCGTGATTTTTATATATTAGCCACATCCTATACCATGGAGTTCTAATAGTATGTAGAAATATGAATTGCGTGCGTGAGGATACAGGGTATCATCTCACATTTTGCAAGATTTTATTTGGAATGTATGCACCTACTACCTACATGCACACAAATTCGATCCATCTCTTGCATAGCAGATATGAGTCGAGACTAAGATTTCAATTATATACCCTCCCGCTATTTTCATCTCATCTGCGCTCAAGTCTTCCACATATATGCTCGTTTCCAAGCGATCAGTCCTCTGTATCTGTACAGAAACTCACGAAGCCCTTTTTCTTCTATATTCAAGCGATTCCTTATGTTCTAGGTGCCCCATTCAGTGAATCTTCCTAGAACATGGGCTGCCTCGCAATGGAGGCTGGGTGTACTGTAATTGGATGTCACCTTTTCGGCTGGGTCTTCTGGGGAAATCTGTTTATCAAGAGCCAATGAATTGCTGCCCAGAGCCTCTCCCCGCCCCTACTGCAAGCTAGCGGCTGCACGAACGAATCGATCGACATATCACTATCCGTTAATGTCAAATGGGCATCTCGGACAAGGGCACTCTACACTGGAACTGCATCTGTACCAAGGCGGCTGAGAATGAGTGGGAAAATGCTCTCAGGTGAGTTGAGTTACTGGTAGAACTAACCTTACCTACCGACCCTACTAGATAGGTAGGTAGGTAGGTAGGTAGGTAGGTAGGTACATTTTACATTGCTATGGATTAGTCCCGCTTCAGTAGTAAATTGCCTTTATAACTGTCTCAGACATTAGCTATCCGTGTTGCTTGTCTTCCAAGTAGCCAAGGTCCCCAATTGACATAAAGTTCCGCTTGAAGCTGCAAGGGATATTGGTATTATTATTATGCCGTGGTTTGCTGGCTTTGCTTGATCAGTACAGTACAGCACAGGACAGTTTTGAACTGTGCTGTACTCCTCTTTACAGCCGGTTGGGCGGTCAAGTGGTCGTAGGTATGAAGTTTAGTACTTAATCTTTACCTGGTCATGTAACCTTTCACCACAACAGTTCTGCGTCCAACCATCACACAATTCACTGCGAGTCGCAGGGGACTCGCTTGACTTGTTTAGCGTTGAAGAATATGGTATGTATTTGCCGACTAGGATGACAAGAAATATTGCAAGAAATAGCTCGTCTGTGTTCCACATTTGAATAATGGTCCCAGCTGTTTCCTCTCTTTTGTTGTTGTAGTGGATGTCCATCGCCAACTCTCATGGGTGCGTTTGCCCAGCCCGCCTGCCAAGGCCGTTGATGTGGGGTTCTTGCTCTGCCACTCGCACAGTGGCGATACTTAAGCGAGGGAACTTGAGAGCAATTTCAAGTCTTTGTTGTTTTCGAAACATGTCTCTCTTGCTTTGCTCCAGGCATTTACATTGTTATTACGGCACTACATAGGTAAGCGTATTGCTAATGCTAGTCACAAGATTGTTTGAGACACACGGAACACCTGCAGCAGTTATCATTTCCGCTAAAGTAAGAAAAAAAGTATTTACTCGTGTAAGGAAATTATACATGTGCCCATTTTTAGTGCCATACCCTTTAGTCGCTAGGCCGTTGCAATTGGTCTTGAAACGACTCTTGAGCTGTCAACAAGCGACTTCTTTGCGGCTCGGATGGCTACCCCTGGCTTAGTCTGTCTATTCCCGTAATCATCTACATAAAACCTTTTCCCCGGAGGCTTGACCTATGTTCAACTCTCAACTATATCTATTTTGTAACAAAGCGCTGTAGCGACACCGTGCAACTCCCAGAAGGTGCTCACTGTTGTCAGTGGTGGTGTCCTTCTGTCACCGTAATAAGCAAGCAACATTCGCTGAGCTGCGGCACTTCAGGAAACTACATAAGTCCATACCGCACAATGATGGCCTCTGTGCTATGCCATGAAAGGCGAGTAACAGGGATAAAGGTAAGCGTCATTGGTTTAATGAGTATTGCGATGGACGGCGTCTTGTGTTTCAGGCAAAGCTGGCAGAGATGATCACATTCAATTAATTGCCCATGATATAATATTCGTGACTTAATCGAGAGGCCTCAAACATAGGTAGGCAACCCGACATGGTTGAAAGAATACATACCCGTCGCCCATACACATTCAAGCGCATAGAACCATATTCTTTCAACATCGCTCTAAAGGAATATGGATATTCACTGGTGGATTGGACATGATGAGAATTCTATTCAATCGTTTGCCAACACCCAGATCATAGCGGTCCAGCATCACAGGCAGACAGGGCTCAGGGGTTGAGGTGGGCCTAGGTCACGGTCGCGGTCGATACAGCCACCAACGTCATTTTGGAGCTGTCGCCAGTTGGGTTCTGGTTCGCCGACAGGGGCATCCCTGAATCTTCTGGGCTCTGGGTGGACAGCTTCTTCAAAACCTCATGATTTCGCAAATCAAATTGGAGCCTGAAAACTGCTTGTCAACGAAATCAACAAGAAGTCCATTCATTATTTAGGGGACCTGCGCTCAGATACAGTACGCACGGTGTAAAATGACAACCCGACCAACTACAACATCGTGGGGGACTTGGGGACATCGAACGATTGTACTGTCCTCTTTCCTTTCACATACTGTACATGTGATTTGCCCTCGAGATTGGTGGCTTCTGGTCCACGTGAGAAATGTTTCGAAGTCCGTTCATCCACTAAGGCATATGCACAACTGAACTTTCGTGGTTGAGATCGACAGTCACCAAACAAAATAAGCTGCCAGAAGGAGCCGACTGATACGTGAGGACAAGAATAAGGAACCAATCGCATATTCATTCCACATGCGTAGAACAAGATATTACGATAACAACTTAGCGCTAGGCTGATTGGTGTCAGAACGAACGAATATCGAGAGCTACCTTTGTTGTCGGTTGGTCGGGTAGTCATGCCGGCGGCATCGAAGCCTCAGGTCAGTTAGTATGTAGGAATAAAGCAGTCTGTTTTCTGATATGCGAACACTCACTGCTTGGCTGCCCTTGATCTGCGAATAACGGGATCCTTGCTATGTTCTGAGTTTCTAGTATGCTGAAACCAACCGTCTCTCCAACGGCGCGAGATCGTCATTCAAAATATCATCTCAACTCGCAGGGAGGGACAAGCGAACCTCAGACTTTCCCATATCGAGGCGTTGATTAGTGCACAACACGGTATCATTCATTGGCACGACCTTTGCGGCTACAATACATCGTAGGTAAATACGCACACGGTCGTATTGGTTCAGGACGAACCTTGGCAAAGGACAGCAAAGAGTGCCAAATAGAAAAATTGTCGCCGAGAACTGCTTCTCCTCTTCGTTGCCCCTCCCTCGCTCAGAAAACCCCCGACAACTGGTCCACTCCCCAACACCATACAGAGCGGTGCAAGTACAGTGGGGACTATCTAGGATTGGACCCTCAAATAGGACCCTGAAAATGCTGTCATTTTCTGCGGCGGTCTAGTTTCTCATTCTACAGGGTCCGAGGGTCTTAGTCGATACCAAGCTTGTACTAGCTAATCGTTCTAGACGGTATCCTTGTATTCCTCACTCAAAGTTCCAGGGCTGTTGCAAACTGAGCAACCATTCCGCCACTCCGCTTTTCCGTCCGTCTCTGAACAGCCTTAGACCACCTACCTATCTGTCTGTCTGATCAAGTTCCATCTCGGAATTGGCGATGTGGCGGTCCTTCCTGATTCATGCTTGCATGTTAGGGGACCCCTATCCTCATCGAGACACGCGAGAGGTGCTGCTTGTACGAGGCAGTAAAACCGCCCCAGAATAAGTCTTTTCAAGACGATGACCCTGCGTCAGTAGCGTTGTAAACGGCCCATGGGCGCCATTTCTCCTCAGCCGAGTCGTACGGCCACAAGCCCTCAGGGATTGCAAATGTGCGTTTCCGCGATTCTTTAGGTGTCTTTGCCACGGCAGAACTCGACAAGGCCAATAAGAGATCACAATCTTGGTATGTCGATGGAGATAATATTGGAGTGATCTCCAAGGATCTCAGAGAGGATTGGCTACCGATAGAAGTATCGGTTTCACATTCGCTGTCCCTGCCAGGGCTATACAGACACAGCACATCCGTTTCCATGTCTCCTTTGACTGAATGAGCAAGGGAGAGTTCCTCCGTCACCTTAGCACGGAGCTGACTTGGTCATTGTGTTTCGATTTTAATTAACTCGTGATCATTTCGGAGATCGGCAGCAAGCATTGATCATCGCTTGGTCAGGTTCGTGATTGGGCTGCTTTATGTTGGGCCGTGATATAATGCGAGATTGTGAACATAATCCAAGTCAGGAATTTGATGGTATAGGGTAATTAGATTTTCAGGTATCCCATTATGTTGAGGTTCTGAAGACTTAGATTGAGTTTATTTGCTAATATTGTTGTACAAGCACGCTCGCTCTTTGTCCTCTCTTTTCCAAAACATCATCTGCTCAGTTTGAACTAGATCGATCGACCGAGTTGAAGTCCAAGGCACGTGGTGTTCGACAACACACTAACAAAGATAACCTCAATACATTGCAATGACCCTCAGCCTAAACAAACATCACCAACGTCACGACGAGATTGATCCTATGCCTGAGAAATATATTACACTCAACTTTACTGCATACACGAATGAGGGTATCTGATGCTATTCCTTCCACCCAGATAGATATCAACAAGAAAAACCAAAAACAATATGTGAAGCAAACTTTCCTAGGCATCCGTATCCATATCATGCGTGGCTGGCCCGTTTGCAACCGAGAAAACGTCCATAATCCCCCTCTTCCCTTGTAATCGTTTATCGTCTTGGCAAATTGTTCCGCCCAAAATTGCCACCAAAAGCCGGGCCTGCTGAAGAGTTCCAGCCCTGCGTCACACTGTTCTTGACGATCAGGGCAGCAGCAGCCGTAGCAGCCTGCCTCTCCTTCTGGCGATGCCGGTCCCTGAGATAAGGCGCCGCCTCTGGTCGCATACGGAGGATACGTAGAATCATATCATCGCTCGGATCCGCTTGCGCTTCACGCCTCTTTGCTTCCTTCGCCTTACGCATGGTGCCCAGGTTACGGCTCATCATGATACTCTTTCCGCGTCTGATCGTGCCCATGCTTGCAAACGACCCTGCACCGCCGAGTGATGCTCCAAGTGCTGCCGGAGCTGACAGACGGTTACTCTGCGAGTTCTGATGCTGGAGAGCTAGACGTGCCCGCTCTGTCGTTGCAGCTGCCATTCTTTCCGACTCACGGATCAGACTATTAGTATCCTCAAAGTAGAAGAAGTTCAGCGAGGCAAGCTCGTGCCACTTAGGCGACTTGAGGGTTTCAGCCGGAACACCGAGCTGCTCTCCTGACTCATCTCTGGCATTGAAGAATTGGAACAGCAAGTCCAACCAGTGATAAACAATATCTAGTTCCTTTCGCGAAAGGGGCCGTTGCTGTGAAGGCTTTTCCGACAGGGGTGGCACTAAGAGGTTCTCAATGACCATCAAAACCTCTTTCCAGAGCCGTGCCATGACGGCATCCATCGTGGCTTTTGTCAATGTCTGTTTCATGATGGCAAAGTTTTCATCGAAATAAGCAAACAGCGGCGCCAGTGCCGCCTCGATCTGAGCTGGGGTCACAGAAGGCATCGTTGATGCTCGCTTTTTCCAAAGACTTGTGACAGATGCGCCAATACCGCCCGTACCCAGCAAGTGCCTGAGAGTCTCCAAAGATAGGGTATGGTTGATCTGAGACGTGAGCTATCTTCAAGTTAGCATATCTGTTTGTCCTACTGTTTGGCATGTCATACCTTATCCGTAACCTTCCGGACCATGTCTCTCTCAGTGCGCTTTAGATGCCGGAAGGCCTTTCCGAAATGAAACTGTATATCATCTCTCTCACCCTCCATGCTGACTCTGATGAGCAATCGACCCTGCGAGTCCAAGTCCAGCCAAAATTCGCGAGGCAGGTAGTCACTGAAATGAACAGGGTCAAGCTTGAGTGATGTTCGCCCAACGTAATCGTGGTCGCCAAAGGTGTCGTAGTCCCAGATAGTCGCAATCATATTGACAGGACCTTGAACTGTTATGTCAAAAGTCTCGTCCCAACGTGGATTGAGACTCCTCTGAATAATTCTCGTCTTGTGTAATCGCTTCTGATATTCATCGCCGAACACCACGTATGGATCGCTGTAGCCATTGGTGTCGCATGCCTTAAGATCCTCAGCCTCGACTACTTTGATCGTGAAGGTGTACTTATTGGGTCGTCGGGCTTTCTTCTTTGGCCCGTCAAGCTTCTCCAAGAGTAAAGCACAGGCATCTGGGTCCATAGCCCGCTCTAACTTGTCAAGCTCCTGCATAGC